AGTCGGCCTGTTCTGCTCCCCACTCTGTCTCTGGTGAAGCCTCTCACCGCCCCTGAGCCTCTAGCCTGTACCCCGGTTCTGTATGTACAAATAAATAAACCTTTAAAAAAAAATAGATAAACTATCACTCAAAGAAACCTCCTAACTTAACTTACTATTTTGGTTTATTTCTTTCAAGTCCTTTTTCTTATGAAGCCTAAAAACATAGTCTATGCAACAAGCATGAATTTATAACTCCCTTTCCCTGCTTGAAACACACGATCACCTATGATCTTTCTCAACCACCCCTTCTCTGCAGACCATCTTGCAGGCATTATAGCATCAAAAAGCAAGACCAGAGATCTAGTCCAGAGTGTGTGACCTTGGCCATCTTCCGACGGGGCACCTCAGAGTCTTGCAATTCCTGCAAGCGTGAGGATGTTCACTACTTGAAGTCATAAGCGGATTCTGTGTTTCCTGTTCATGGGGACGTGTGGGCGCTCGGCATTTGGAAGACAGGACTTTTCTTTCTCTGAAAGGAGCGCGAGCTTTAGGCGCGTGAAGCAGAGCCCACTTGAAGCCCAGGCTTTGGGTAGGGGGGCGTGGGGGGCACCGACGCGTGGGCCTGACCTGACCTCTGCTCTTGCGCAGGACGGGAAGTGCAAGTATGACTCGAGAAATCGAGCTGCCACGTGTTCCAAGTACATCGAGCTGCCCTCCGGCGACGAGGAGGCCTTGAAGGAAGCCGTGGCCAGCAAAGGGCCCGTGTCGGTGGCCATCGACGCGAGCCACACGTCCTTCTTCCTCTACAGGAGCGGTAAGGCCCGGCCGCTGGCCTGCGGGAAAGAGCGTGACCTGGCAGCCTCCCTCCACCTCCTGACCAGACTCCTCCTCACATACTTGCTGTGCATGCAGTCAAGTGTGTTACACGTACTTGGTTCCGCAGAGCCACGTCTCCGTCGTCACGGGTCCCCCACAGCGCTGACGCCGAGTTCTTGCTGTGCAGTGTCTCCTTTAATTCTCCTCAGATGCTCACTGAGCAGATGCTAAAACTAAACCTTGCGGGCTTCGCTTGCCTGAGGTCACATAAACTGAAGGTGGTCACTGGGGGGAGAAATGGGGTACTTTCCGCAAACCCGCAGGGTGAGCACAGCAGGGCCAGGGCGCCCCGAAGGGCGGGGCACCGGCCGAGGCAGCTCTGTGAAGCCTCGCCGTGAGGCCGCTTGGTCGCGACGGCCGAAATGCACGGACCGTGCAGACACCCCGCTGGGGAGCTGGGCTGCATCCGCAGAGCAGGCACTATCTGACTGCAGGGACGTCAAAACAGCTAGCAGCAGGTGGAGCTTCTCCAGCACTTTCCTCAGGGAACTGCCGTCGGGTCCCTGTCAAACGTGACAAGCAAACGACAACCAGGTGGTTGGCCCGGAGCTGGGCTCTGAGGCGTTTGGGCTGAGCGCTGGAGCGCTTCCGGTGTTCCTCACACGCCAGCTCGCCTTGCCTGGGCCCAGCCGCGGGCACTCGGCCACGTCGAAGCGCCCTGTCTCCACACGCTGCTGCTCTTGTCCCTCAGGTGTGTACGACGAGCCGGCCTGCAACCGCACGGTGAACCACGGCGTCCTGGTGGTTGGGTACGGGACCCTCGGCGGGAAGGACTACTGGCTGGTGAAGAACAGGTGAGGGCCCCGCCTTCGCGCGCGCCGGCCGCATCCGGGCATTTCGGGTACATGGCAAGCACCCCGTGGGGTGACGACGGCACAGGTGTTGACAGTGACGAGCACTTGCGGCCCCTTGCAAAGCGACACGGTAAATGACCCGGGTTCCTTGGCTGCCTCTCCCGCCTTCAGCGCGTGGCGTTCATGCCTCCTCTCCTCAGCACTTGTCTGACGAGGCTTCCAGCTCCGTAGGACGCCAGTTTTTCTGCTCCCCACCCCAAGGCTGGTCCTTCCCAGAGGGCTCCATCCTCTGCCCATTATTCTTCCTAGGCCACATTTGTCTTGGGTACCCCCATCCCAGGCTTATGGTTTTAGCTGTAGTTTATACGCTGAAGGTTTCCGCATCCCCAGCTGGAGCTCTGGCTGCGCCCTGAGCTTCAGACTCATTTACCTGGGCCTAGCCCTGGACGGCGTGCTGGTTTCTCCAGTACTTCCGAGGAACTCAGAGCCATCGTGTTTCTCCTCCACGGGGTCCCCCCTCCATAAATGGCAACCCCACGAACACCCCAGTCCTGCTGGAGCTCACGGGTCATCTCAAACGCCTCCGGATCCAACAAGCAGCAAGTCAGGCTGACGTCATCTCACCCCCTCCCCGTTTCGGTCTTCTCCCTGCTCTCCCTGTCACGGACCTGGCTCAGACACCTGCCTGCACGGTTTCCGTGATCTCCTACCACTCTCCTTTCCATTGGGCTGCCGGGCAGGTTTGTCCAAAACACGAGTCTGAGCTTACAGATCTCCTCTTTCATGCTCCCCATGGTACACGTAATGCGGCTTTGTCGAGAAGCCGCCGCATCCTGCTGCCTCGCCCCCGCCCGGCGCCCCTCATCTGAAGCCAGTATCTTCACCTGTCGCACGTCCTTTCTCCTCTCACCCCTGAATCTTTGGACTGGGGAAGATGTCTTTTGTCCGGTGGCCCCAAAGTGTCACGTGCATATGGAATGTTCTGTAGATTGAATTTAAATTGTTTGGGGCCCTCCCTCGTGGCTCAACGATTTAGGACGCAGCAGGGCGGGCTGGCCGCAGCGGCTTCAGTGCAAGTTCCATCCCCGCCCCGGAGGTGACCCCCAGGGCGCAGCAGACCTGTCCCCCACTGATCCCCTCAGCAGTGGACTTTATCAATCTGCTTGTTCTGCTCCCCGCCTGCCTCTGTTGAGTCCTCACCACCCCGCCCTCTGACCTGTGCCCCAGCTCTGTATGCATAAATAAGTAAATCTTCAGAAAAATAATTTTCATTGTTTCTTTTCTATCTCCCTTTCCAATACTCTCTCGCCCGACGGGTTGCTCAGAAGCCTGATCTTTGTATCCTTACCACTACGTAGCACCTGACGGCTTCTTCATTTGTGAATTAAGCAGCTCTCTCAATCGTTCCAAAATCAGTGGACCTTAGATAATGAAATAAATGGCTGTTGTCCAGTCCTCACTGTAGTGCTAAGTTTTCCAAATGACCCTTTGCAAACTGCCTAAAAGTCCCAAGGAAATTACTATATTATTTTGTTTTACAACTTTTTGTATGGAATCACTTTAGGAGAAAACCAACCTAAGCAATACAATGTTGATAACTTCGTTTAATTATGTGCCTTTGTAATTTTGTGTTATTTCTTTTTCTAAAGCTGGGGCCTCACCTTTGGTGAGCAAGGATATATTCGGATGGCGAGAAATAATAAAAACCACTGTGGGATTGCAAGTTATCCCTCCTACCCGGAAATGTAGAGGATCTCTTCTTTTTATAACAAGACAAGAACTAGGAAACACTTTCTCGAATTAATTTTACCTGCTGTAATCAACAGAAACAAGCGTGGTGATGGATGTACAATCAGTGTACTAACAAAGCCTAGTCTGACTCTTGCACTTTTTATGTTTTCAGATCTTGGAAAATGTTTGCCAAGTAAATTAACAGTGTACCATAGATACAACTGTACAAGAACTTTTAAACCCAAGACAATCTGCTGTGTTTGCGTGATTGTTTAATTTTGTGCTGTGTCTTTTTAAGTCCCCTGACTTTTTGTAACTTGATGACTCAATAAATGTTTTTTCAGCTTTATCCTTACCACACATGGCTCTTTCTTTATTATTAGGTCACTATCATAATTTTTCATGAGAAAATGAATTATAATCTGTTGAAGAAGGAACATGGCAACCTCACTGAAAGAAACTAAGGTTATTCATGACCTGAGGGCTCATAAAAATATTTCATATTTTTTTAAATAAATGATGTTCAAGTAAGCAAATGTATAAAAGTCAACCTGTTTTCAAGTACTTTGGCAGGACTATTTTAATGATCAAAAGTTAATATACTAACTCAAATTATTTTTACCAAGTCATTAGCAATTTGACCAGAACATTTTTTGTCAGTTAAAATTAACCTCTATAAACTAACTGAATTCTTTACAAACTATTCCATTATTCATACCTTTATTTAATTCAGATTGCTCTTCCTCACAACTGTTTCAGATTAATAGATGAATTCTGAAAATACAGCAAGAACTTTAAATTTTATAAGTTCATGCCTAATGTATGAAAAACATGTGAGTTTGATGCCATTAATATATATTAAACTGAACTTAATTTCACCACCTCTGGTTCCATCTCTATAATGTACATTTTAAAGAAAAAGAATGGCTAGCTATAAACATGGTCATAATATATAAATATTATCAATAGTGTAGAGAAACATTTTAATTTGTACAACTATTTTATAGACTCTAATTCTTAGCAACCTTTGCTTTGCTCACAGTTTTTCATGCCTTGTAAATGGAAAGATGTAGATAGCCTTTGTCAATATAATAAAGACTAAGAACAACTCAGAATAGTGATTTTAAATACAGCATTAGAGTCAACGGATGATGATTATATCAAAACAGTTATTAAAATGGCAAAATAAAATTTGTGCTATAGTAATAGAAATACGTCTTTATAAGTGCATTAGATAACAAGAGTTAATATCTTAAATTTGAAGCCAAGTATAAATATTTTTAAATGTCTGCAAAAACAGTAGTGTGATGTAAAAATATCTGAATTTAATAATAAAGTCACAAGTGTTGTTAATATTACTCTAGTTTATTGACTGTGTTCAGAATTGGGGGGAAATGCTAATTTCAGTTAGAAGTTAGTGAAAATGAAGATGTGATTATTTTCCCATACAAATTCACAAAGTTTCTGAATTCTTTGTACGGATCTCTTGGGAATCTATGAATTCAGACAAAGAACCCCAGAACTAAATAAGTAGAATAATAACATGTTAATAAAAGTATTTGTTGTATGTCCAACATAAGGGGGAAATTTGGGCAATAAACAATTTCAAACTTGGGCCTCCGCGGTGTGCAAGGGGGTAAAGCACAGCCTATGAAGCTGTCCGCAGCCGCTGCATGAAGTTCGAACCCAGCCAGGGAGGGACCCCAGGGCACAGCAGACTTTCCTGACTCCCTGCTGTTCCCTCAGCAGTGGGTTTCAGTGGATCTGCCTGTCCTGCTCCCTACTCTGTCTTTGGGGAGTCCTCTCACTGCCCCGAACCTCTGGCCTATCCCCAGTTCTTATATGCATAAATAAATCTTAAAAAAAAATAACATAGGGCCCTCCCCGGTGGCGCAGCGGGTTAAAGCGCAGCACTAAGAAGCTAAAGCCACTTTCGCATGAGTTCGATCCCCGCCTGCCCCGGAGGTGACCACAGGGCGTGGCAGACCTCTCCTGACCCGCCCGCTGCTCCCCTCAGCAGTGTATTTCGTTGATCTGCCTGTTCTGCTCCCCACTCTGTCTCTGGTGAAGCATCTCACCCCCTGCACCTCTGGCCTGTACCCCAGTTCTACATGCATAAATAAATAAACATTTTTCTAAAAAAACTGAGTGATAAATGAGTATGAATGAGTGACCTACAAATTATAAGTGTTGGAAGTACAAGTGTGCCCCAAGAGTTCTTTCTCAGTAATGGAAATCTAACCCTTTTTAGAAGCTACATTAAAACTTCTGTTAAAATGTAAAGGATTTCATTATTTAAAACTCTCTCTCCCTCTCTCCAGTAGGCTTATACTTTGACCAGGATTTTGTGCCTCTCTCTTCAAATAAGCTATTTTTTAACTTATTTAATTTTTAGTACAGATAACTACTAAAGTCAAAAATATTGTAGGGGAGAAAAAATACTACCTTCCAGGTTCTCTAGCTGGAGCCCTGAGAATTGGCAGCATGGGGAGCTGAGCCCCTGACTCCTCAGGTGTCACCCTATTATCAGCTTCTTGTGGTTTTGTATCTTTCTAGAATGTGTTATGCACGCACAGGTGACTTACACATACATGTACCCTTTAGCACTAATTCTTGAAGGCGTCCAGGATGGGCTGCAGAGGCGGAAGGGTGTTTAAGGCACTTGAGACTCCACAGCTGCAGCCAGAGGCGGCTGCCCCCCCCCCTTCCCAGACGCAGCAACTCCCCAAAGAGTTCGGGGTCATGAATTCCCTCTCAAGGCGTCTCACAGCCAGCGAAGACTGGCTCTCCCTGTTGAAGCTGAGCAGCCAGCACACACCAGCGCCTGGGCAATTTAATTTTCAGGTTTCCAAATACCAAGCCTAAGAGGAAAAGAGCTTCCTTCCCAACAACTTCAATTAACAAAGGATAAGTTGTATGAAAATTGACCTGCGCTATATAGCTGTGTGTATACCTTTGCCATGCTGTGTAGCATAAGCAATAATTTATCAGGCGTTAAACAGCAAGCATTGCATGTTCTCTCCAGCACCTTGCAGCTGTCCTTAGAGAAATCAGAGGCACATCCGGATTGGCACAGGCCTTCGCGAGGCCCCAGGATGTTCTGGATTCTACCTGCACAAACCTAAGTTTCCGTTAACGAGCCTTAACCAGTAGTTTTTAAAACAGTAATATTTTTTAAATCAATGATAATTCTTGTAACGTTTCTTCAGGTTTTTAGATTTTTAATATATAGCATTGCTTTTTTGTAAAGATTTATTTATGTATGCATACAAGAACTGGGTGCAGGCCAAAGGTGCTGAGGGATGGGGGGACATCAGCGGATTCCCCAGAGACAGAGCGGGGAGCAGAACAGGTGGATCCACTGAACACACTGCTGAGGGGGCCGCGGGGAGACAGGAGAGGTCCGCTGCGCCCTGGGGTCCCTCCCTGGCGGACCGAACGCTGCTGCAGCTGCCGGACAGCTCCCGGCTGAGACTCGCCCCTGCCCCAGGGAGGGTCCTCTTGCTTTTCTCCTGACCCGTTTAAATGGCGCCCAGTATGGTGTTCTGGGCCTCTTGCAGCAACACCACCTCTCCCCTCCAGAGGGCTCACACACAGCCCTCTGAACTGCGAGGCCAGGGCCCTTTCGCTGCTTTACCCCGAGAACCGCACTCCAGTTTCCAGCCTTCTCCCGAGCCTCGGGGCACATCCTTCCGCACCCCGAGGGGGTTCCTGGCGGGCAGTGCAGGCACCCCAAGCTTGTTAACCGCGAGGCTCCGCTAAGCCATCTATTGGGAAACCCAAGTTTGCGCAGGAAACGAGCGCACCTGCTCCCCGCTACGGCCCCTGCGACTTCACAGTTCACCCTCGGGGACCCCGTTACCGGGCGCCCCACCGCCGGGCAGGCGCCGCGCCGCGGGGGTCCCCGGGAGGAACTGCTAGAGCACCGGCTCCTTCGGACACCGGAG